GCTCACAGCTATGAACAGGTGACGGCATTTACAGAAACCAGCAGCTGTATTAAATCCTCATTATGTTCGTATGACAAACATTCAATCTTTGAGTGTGCATTTCTCAGTTTCTGCACTTTCTGTTATCCCCCCAGTCACCACATAGAGAAGAGGAAGTGCAACACAGCCACCTGCGTCACCCAAAGGCTAGCAGACTTCCTGGTCCGCTCCAGTAACACTATCGGTACCGTCTACGCACCAACCAACGTGGGATCTGCCACCTACGGCAAGAGGGACATACTGCAGCCTCCCAGCTACCTGCCTCTCTAGTACTGATTGAGGAAGCTCCACCAGCACTCCTAGTGCTCTGATGATATAACCAGACATCTTACGTAACAATGATTGTGAGAAGGGTGTAGAGAACGATGAACAGAGTTTTCTTGTTTATTTTATAAACTTTAAGGAACAGTGCCTTTAATTTAAACCATCAAAGTTAAGATATGTTTTTATCCCCCCTTCGCTTTGTATGTGTTGTGGCTCTGTTAATGCTGTTCCACAATGGCATGATGTGACTATAAAAATACATAAAATTATAAAACAATAAATAAAAGAAAACAGATGTAAAGCCATGTGAAATAAATGTTATCTGTCGGTTTTGATAATAAAAATTGTGGAAATATACATATTTTTAAATATTCATGTGTTTTTAGCCACATTATTGCATATCTTTACAACTACATGCAGGAGTTATGAGCTTTTAGCAAATCATCAGCTAATACTCCTACATGAGATGTTTATTAAAACAAAAAAAAATATTAAACTACCCAGCTCCCAACTTGCTTCCCCATGTGCCACACAAACTCCAGAATGAATTTGCGAACAAAAGGGGTTTTATCATGTTGCCACAGGTAACCTAACTCCCTACAAGGGACCTGTGTTTAGCGTTGACCTATAGACCACTGCTTGTCTCAGTCATTGCCTGGGAACATGAAGGCCTAAAAGACACACAGATATCAGAATCAGCTTTATTTGCCAGGTATGTGTACACATACAAGGAATTTGACTCAAGATTGTCCATTGCTCGTGTTGTAGTCAAGACCGCCCAAACCGAGACCAAGTCAAGACCAAGACCAGAGTTTATCGAGACCGAGACAAGTCCAAGACTTTTAGAGGCTGGGAGCAGTCAAGACCAAGACCGAGAGAGGGCGAGACCGAGTCAAGACCAAGACCAGTTCCCTGCACTGCATGGCACGCAATAAAATGTGGAAGGAGATCATAGGTACTTCACAAATTGATCTGAAAGATCCACATTCCCATTAAAACACTCACATACAAACACTAAGAGCTGAAATCAACGTAAGCATCGCAGGGAGGGGTTGTTAATTAGGGTTATTGGTTGAATTTGAAGCAATATGTTTTACTTCCAATCAAAGTTAGGATGTTAACAAATAAATCAGACAATGCAAAAGCAACTTGATATTCCCAAAGTTATGGTCTTGACTGGTCCTCAATGTCAGAGACCAAGACAAGACCAAGTGCAAATGCGGTCGAGTCTGAGACAAGACCAAGACCATCAAAAAGTGGTCTTAAGACCAAGACTGGTCTCGAATACTACAACACTAACAATAATAATACAATAATAAAATCACACACAGGCTACAGTATAGAGAACACATTTATACACACTATAAACAAAAACAATAGAGACAGATTGAGACAATAGTGCAATGAGCAGAGTGCAAAGGATGCAGGAGTAAAATTATTATTATTATGTACATGTTGGAGGTGGATTAGATATACAGGTACACATAACATACATGTCTACATGTACTCATGTACACAGTGTGATGGAGCACAGTGCAAAGAATGCTGGAATAAATAAGTGTTATGTGCAGGTGTTATGTACTTGAGGTAGGTGGATTTAGTATACAGTATCTACAATATGAACAGTATGAACAGCTCTGAAATAGAGAATGATGAATAAATAATAAGCGTTAGCCAGTAAACAGGTGGCTGAATAGAGACAGAGTAACTGGGCTATTGCACAGAAGGGGGGGTGGGGAGAGATTCTCCTGAAGTCCACAATCATCTGCACAGTTTTAAGCGTGTTAAGCTCCAGATTGTTTTTTTAATAAACCGGCGTATCAATAGCTAACCTGGCTAGTTGTAAACAAAAAGCTAGCCGAGCAAAGTTTTCCGACTTGTTAACTGGAACGCCGTCAACACGGGTGTGACGTCATTCCCACCTCCGACCTCCGACTTCTGAGGTAAATGGAACACAGCATAAAAAAAATTCAGCGTGTCTGCAGGTCTTTCCACACTGATTCAGCGTTGCTGGCAGTGAAGCTGTTTTCTAGCTTTTCAGCGTAGCTCCTCTTTGCTGTTTTGACCTCTTTAGTCAGTGTTATTCCTGGAGTTTCGCTGTGAACCAGTGTTTTTGGTTGTTGTATATGCAGAAAGTTTTAGTCAGCACACATGTTCTTACAAAAACTGATGTAGGATGTCACAGTGTCACTTAGTTCATCCAGGCTGCAGCTTCAAAAACACTCCAGTCAGTGCAGTCAAAGCAGGCCTGTAACTCCAGCTTTGACTCGTTGGTCCATCTTTTCACCCTCTTTAAAACAGGTTTAGCAGATTTCAGTTACTGCCTGTAAGTCAGGATAAGATGAACCAGACAGTGATCAGTGACAATGGTTTGCTCTGTTGAAGTCCCCAAGAACAACGAGATGGGAGTCTGGATGTTTTTTCTCCACGTCAGTCATCTGATCGACCAGGTGTAGTAATGCCTCACTAAAGCCCCTTTGAATTTAATTGAATTTAACTGAATCAGAGGGAAAAAGGCAAATAAGCACAATTTTAGTCTATATTGTTAACTTTGTGAAAACAACACATGTCCTAAATTACTTAAATAGAAGCTTATTTATTTATTTATTTTTCTGCTTTTGTTAATTTTTGGACACTGCCAGACCATACTGCAGACTGTTATGCAGTAATACAATTGGCTTCTGATCACTGTTCCATTGATATTTATCATGTAGTACTAATTTATTAGTCATACTGTGATTGAGATAAAAGAGATCAGATGTTGTTCACATCGTGCTATGAGTTATTACACCTCTATTGATGAAGTGTAAGCAGGAGACATCAGTGATAGTGGGTCTGCCACTTAAATCTCAGGTTAACTTTTTGTTACATGTATTGTACCGCGAGTATCTAATCTCTACATCATGTTAACAATACAATTTGCATTTTGTGGCATTTTGTTGGCTTTAAAGTAAAGCCTGTTTCATTTGAGAAGCAGCATGGTTTCAATAATACGGTCCCTACAGCCTATTTAAAATGGATCCACAAAAAACATCTAAGACCATTTTTTTATAAATGTAAAATTTACATTATGTTGCATACATTGAATACCAAACATCATTTGTCCAAATTCCTTGTACGACAGAACCGTGATCCCAGAACTGTATTCAATATTGTCATGTGTTGTCCTCCTGCAGGGTTTATACAGGGTAATGTAATGAAAATCAAGAGGGGAAGTATGACGCACAGCATTAACCTGTGTTTGATTACCAGTGACCCGATCATCTCAGACGCTGACATCAATACTCCCATGCATGGTTAACCACCAGCGTAAAAGGTTTTTCAAAAATAGAACAAGTGCTGGCTTTTGCTGATGAATCCAAAAAAAAATGAAGCCATTATCCGCCAAACACCCTGACAGAGAACAGGGATCGTGTCAAGATCAATTACTTCATGTAAAATCACAAATAGCACTGTACTTCAGCTGTTATCTGGTGGTGAGTTGTTTATCACTGCAGTAATGATGGCTGATGAATGTTTTCATGGAATTGTAGATCTGATTCAACAACCCGGTGACCACATTAATCTCTGACATTAAAGATACAATTGTGATCCAAATATAAACCAGAGGGTTGCCCTACCACCAAAATTTATAACAAAGGACTTGCTCTCACTGCGAAATTGATTTACAGGTATTTTAATTCAGGTAGCCTAGAACTAGACAACAAATAAATCAATGTAAGATCTTAACATTTTCTGATGCTAGCAAAAATATAATATCCTCTTATAGTCAAATGTTACTATAACAGAGTAAATGTACGGTACGTACTGCCCAACAATAGATGAACATAAAGACTTCTTAAATTATGCATTCAGTATTTTTTATATATTATAACATTCTTTGTAACTGTACACTGTTGTTTGACTTGGAGACCTAGCACACTACCAAACAGACCACAACACAATGGTTGCCACTGCGCATGTGAGAGGCAACGAGAACCATTAAATTCCTTTTATATTTATTCATACTTGGCCATTACATGTTATTACTAAAACACACAAAATGCTGTTTATATTACTATGATGATTATGACATGATAAATTTAGCTAAATAATTAGTAAAAAAATAAGAATTAGGATTTTAACTTCTGATAGGTCTGCATAATTAGTGGGACCCCATGGCCTTGCACAGGGTCTGCTAATAATTAGATCTATAGGTGAATGTTAAACAACATACAGGCCCTTTGGCAATTGTCTTTCATGTGTCTTCATATAGATTTATGTTTATTTGATAGGTCTTTTCACAGAAGACATTTTGACATGTCATAGTAGAAAAAGCACAGGGGTTACTAGTTACATTGAGGGCTCTGCTGTATTTAAGTATCCAATAGCTATGACAGAGATCCAGCATGCACAAAAGCAAGATCGCAAAACTGAATCAGCTAAATGGAATGCATTTCATTATTTACACCTGTGCTTTTCCTACTGTGACACAAAAATATCTTCTGAAAAGAGCCTATTGTATTGTGTTGACTATTTTTTTAAATATTGTTTTGTACTTCAAAATTGGGGAGGATACTTGCTTTTGTTGTATAGACTGTGAAGTATGTTGTTAAACAAAAGGCAGAATATTTAGGGTATCCTGTATCCTGTAGTAAGCGCGTCCCTCAACGGGAGCATTTGAATAACTGTTCCTGCTGCTGCTTGCCGTAGTTAGTTGTAAACACGGAAGTTACGTTGCTTCAGTGCTCTGTTGTCATGTGCTGACGACAATTTTGGGCAGCTAGCTATAACAAAAGTTTCCCAAGAGTGTTTTAACACGATTACCAATTACCAGTTGGGTCTTAAATTTGTATCCATGCCGAGAGAGAAAAAGAATATGACAACAAATTTGGCTGTTAAACCACGAATGCAAGGAAGCTAGTGTTAGCTAGAGACCGTTAGCTTAGCATTTTCTTTAAGGAATGGCAGATAAAAAAGAGAAAACATTTAGGTTTGTAATTGTGGGAGGTGGAATCGCGGGTGTGACATGTGTTGAGCTGGTAAACATGAATTAATAAGTATAAAATAATTAAATTTAGGTCTAAGATACGTAGTTTAAATCTATTAAACCAAGTACAGAGGCTCTACGAACTCATTTTAATGCATGTCATGTGGCTATTCAACATAGATCTTTTTCTTCATTGACAGCTGTCATCCCAGATTCCGTCAGCTGACGTCGCTCTGATCACAGCAGGTCCCCATATCAAGGCAGTGACCAACTATAAACAGGTGAGGATGATGATGGTGGTGTACAGGGGGAACATTATACACAATGGGCGCATGTACTTTGACTCAGCCACCAAATGATGCCAGATCAAATATTATAAAAATGTTGTTCTTAATGAGCACACTCACCTTGCACTAAATAATCTGCATCCTTTTTCCGTTCTCCTTTGCAAGGTGTCCAAAACATTGGAAGAGTTTGATGTGGAGGAGAAACCATCCAGCGTTTTGGAAGATAAATTTCCCAACCTGACTGTCATCCACTCTGCTGTCAAATCACTTTACATTCAATCACATGTAGGTAGCTGTTTAGCTTATAACTGAAATGGATAGATTATAACGGTGGGTATAAATGCGATAATGGTATTCTAGAGACTGCTGGTAAAATGTGCATGTAACTAACAGCTGTAAGTAACAGCCACACATGCTGTAATTCCCCATTAACTGTTTACTGATTATAATGTCAAAATCACAATAACTTCCAGACAGTGATTTCCTGCAACTTATCTCAACAAAGGCTTTTTGGTGACTATTATCTGTCTACTATCGCCACCTTGTGGACATGTGGTTACAGCATGTAGTTTAAGTAGAATATACTGGACTGTGACTGGTCTAAATACGTGGCAAACGGTGAACAATCTTGTGTCTAAAAACCAAATCCAGTTTGTAAAGAGGAATATTACTTTCCCAAAGTGAGAAGAGAGAAACAAAACTCAAACCTTGTTGTGAAAATGAATCAGTATTTCCCATTCTTCTTTTTATTGTCAGTCGGTGGAAACTGTAGATGGACGGGTTTTTGGTTATGAGAAGCTGTGTATCTGCAGTGGGGCCAGACCTAAACTCCTAACCCAGGATAACCCTTATGTGGTGGGGATACGGGACACAGACAGCGCCCAGGTACAAACCCCATCAGTCTGGATGTTTGTGTTGTTATTGACAGGCAGGTCTGAAATTCCTTAAGGAACTGAACTAATAAAACCTTTTTACAGTGGCAAGATGCAGTTTGTCCAAAGAAGAGTATGTTTTTTGCTATGTGCTTCCTTACCGTTATTCCTGTCAATGTCACATTCCTGCTAAGGTAAAAGTAAATTCTTTGTGTGCAAAAGTGCATCCAGTAATTGCAGCTGTTGTTGCATATTTGTTTAAAAAAATAAAGCCAATAACATATTGCATACAGTTCCCAAATCCAAACTTTAAAATAGAAATTGTCTAGACATGTCTGGTAATTTAGAGTGAAAACAACTGGACTGAAACTATAACCTCCTTAGTCTGGGAAAAATGTTAATACAATTTTCCATGTACTTGTGTTCCAGGAGTTTCAGAGGCAGCTATCCAAAGCAAAGAGAATTGTTGTTGTTGGCAATGGAGGGATTGCCCTGGAATTAGTGTAAGTAAACACAAATACTGAAACACAAATAACGCAAAATACTGTTCTTATATCTTATCGAAATTAGAATGTGTATGTTTTTCTGACTGAAGAACAATGAGATTAGATTTAGACTTTCAACATAGAAACACACAGCCACATACTGATAAAGAAAATACATGGTGTACACAACATAGTCAGTGAGGCAGTTTGTTACTATTTACTCTTAACTGCAGTAATCTCTCCATCACTCCATCAACACTAGCATACCGTTTGGGCTAGTTGAGGTGACAATAAATATAATGCAGCATATACAAAAGAGCATCCTCCGTACTCCTATTATTCCTATATGCAAATTGTTGTACTTCCCTAAGGATGTGGTTTAAAATGATCCTCTCGAAGCCCTTCCTTATAATTGATGAACAGACAGACAGTTTCAACATTTTTGTACTTGCACTATGAGTGACATTTTCCATGCCCTGGGGTTATGGGTGACATTTGAGAAAGTTGTCTAAACACAGGTTAAGTTTTTCCCTATGGGCGCTCCTTCAGAACCCTACTTCTGATCCTGTCAGGACCAGCTGCTTTTCTTGGATTAATCTTTTTTAAAGGTTCTGCAAACCTCCTCAGCTGTTAGGACCAAACTCACTGGCCACACACTCAAGCTGTTTCTTCAATAGACTAGTGAGTTGCTGTTCTACTGTCCAGCCGTGGATGGAGTGGGTCTCAGTACAGTGTGGGGTGTGTTTGATGTCAACAATCAGTTGTTTTGTTTTGTCCATGTTCAGCTGCAGGTAGTTATCAGTGCACCATTGTGTGAAGTGAGGAATGGAGATTTGATAGGCTGTAACGGTTATTGTCATTGGGTAGATCCCGAGAATGGCAATGTCATCAGAGCATTAAAGTATGTGGTGATGGGTGAGGGGCTGGTACAGTCGTTGGTGTAGAGGATGTAAAGGAAGGGACTGAGCACACAGCTCTGAGGGGCCTCCATGTTCAGAGATAATTCACACTGAACATGCTTTGTATAGCTATGAGGTGGAGGGCTGTGAGGTGGTCTGGGCTGTGAAGGACAAAGCTATAGGAAACACCTTCTTTGACGCCGGGGCAGCACAGTTCCTTATCCCATTCCTGGAGGCTGACAAACCAGAAAGAGCTGCTCCCTGTAAGAGAACCCGCTACACCACTGAGCAACCAGCACCTGGAGCATCCCAGACCTTCAAAGCAGGTCCTCCTCTTACATGTATTCAAATGCCTGACAAGTTCATTTCTATCTTTCTCTTATGCTGGTGTACAATCTGTCCCAAGATTGTCATATTCTTGTTTTTTTGCTTAGATTTGAGTGTGTGTATTTCCAGACAGAAACGCACGAGGGCATGGTTCTACTGCCACAGAGTCTGGCAGCGCCCTTGGTCCAGACTGGCATGAAGGGATAGTTTTACAAGGAGCAGAGCAGGTGAGGTCGTGTGTTACTGAATGCCAATCCTAATGGTCAGCTTTCGGAAAGTCTGTTTGTGTAGACATCACCTTCTCAAATAAGTCTGTGTCTGTCTTGATCTTCTGTTATGTTATACCTTCCTCCTCTTCTCCTGGTTCTCCTCTCCCTGCTGGTGTGCGCTCAGGTTCCCCGCAGGGTTTCAGTGGAATACCAGTGTGAGGTGGAAAAGATCTCCACCTCTGAGGATCTGCTCAATTCCCCACAGCAAACACTCAGACCTGAGAATGGTGAGAAATAGATTTTCTGCCCGGATTTGAACTCTTGACTGATCCTTTCCTTGCTCCCTTTGTTTCCCTCCCACTTTTCATTCCACAAGCCTTTCTCTCCCCTCAGTAGGATCCTGGCCAGTGTACGTCCAGCTGACCAATGGCAAGACGTTTGGCTGTGACCTCGTTGTCAGTGCCACCGGCGTCGTGCCAAACACTGAGCCATTTCTCCATGGCAACAAGGTAAATAAAGGAAAAAATAAGCTCTCTTGTGCCCTTAAGTCTTTGTCTAAGTGGGGCAACACTGTGAGTCTGCATCTTCTTGTGTCTGTTCACAAAGTCGGATGTTATGTAATGCCGTTAATATGAGGTTTTGCTACTATCTTAGCTTTTTGTAAGGTGCCACAACCATTTAGGACCAAACGTGCAAAACTTTTGGTAACCTTTTGAAATATCCTCGTGCCAGACAGATACATTTATTGATTTGTGTTGCAAAGATAACCCCTGCCCAACTGTGCTGTTAAAGGTTAAAGTCAATCAGTGCTTTATTGGTGAACAGTAAAACAGATATCATGCAAAGCTCTCAACAGCTGGGTATTAAGGCCTCCAGATGTCGCTAAAGAACATATGAGCTTTCATCACTCTGTGTTTTTAGCACACAGAACCACCACATTAAAATGAGTGTAAATTGTACAGCAAAGAGTTTGCATATTACTTAGGTTATTATTTTTATCTCCCCTATGTGAACATAAACTATTAATCATATATGGATTCCTGATGATGTTCACTTCAGTTTTATGTTTTTTAAGTTTGCACTGGCAGATGACGGCGGCCTGCAGGTAGACGACCACATGATGACTTCGGAGCCAGATGTTTATGCTGCAGGGGATGTGTGCACTGCATGCTGGGAACACAGCCCACTGTGGCAGCAGGTAAACGGAAATTAAATTTGCCATCTAAAAATGGTTTTCATTAATTTCTTTCTACAAAGCCAAGATTAAATGCGTTGTCACTTCTTGTATACTGCCCTATGTTCAGTGTAAAACCAATTTGATTTGTTTAAATTATTATAAACAGCTCGACAAATGTAAATTATTAAAAGCATTAGTTACTTGCTTCTACTGAATTATCAATCATTCATCAGCCAGAATGATCAGTCATCAATCATTAAACACATGCATTGTACACCTTTTACTAAAGACAAATTTGATATCCGTTTCTGAATTTGCCGCAGGATAATATTGAAAATGTATGGAATGGAAACGTGTAAAAATTATATAATAATACTACTAATTTTGTCCTGTAAACCAAATGTGCCGGATGTATTTTGTGTGCCAGTCAATGTCAGTTTGTCCTGAAATGAGTCAATTTAGGTCATCAAGAAAACAAGCTTGTTTCAGTTCCGCTGGTGCTAGCAGGAGCGCTAAAACATACATTTCACATATTCCCCTGCTATTGTGACTGTTGTGACACATTGTTCAGTGTGTTAGAAGATTCCATATATATATATATATATATATATATAGAAGATGAAAAACAGTGTGATATTTCCCCCTGTGTGTGTGTGTGTGTGTGTGTGTACGCTTTGTGCAGATGCGTTTGTGGACGCAGGCCCGTCAGATGGGCTGGTACGCCGGCCGCTGCATGGCGGCACACGACCTGTCAGAACCGATAGAACTGGACTTCTGCTTTGAACTCTTCTCACACATTACCAAATTCTTCAGCTACAAGGTGCGTGACATTTTACTGCAGGGGAGTTATTTTTAAATAATAACCAATATGTTAATCATCTACTATGCAAATTATAACCATTTTCCATTACTTTCAGGACCCTTCAAGGTCATCACAGTGCTACTTCGTGTCCTACTCTCTCTACCTCTAGGCACACTGTACATTTAAACAACTTCCTCTCTTCTGGTCATTCCACAGGTTGTCCTACTGGGGAAGTTTAACGGGCAGGGGCTGGGGCCCGATCATGAGCTGCTATTGCGCTGTACTAAAGGCCAGGAGTATGTCAAGGTGATAGTGAAGAGAATAATAACGTGTTAATACTCATGTGTGTTAATGTCCAGTGTTTTCACCAGTATTATTTATGTTACTTGTATAACAACATCAGTACACCTATTTAAAAAAAGGATTTCTTATTTTACACACAAATTTTGTGCATTGTGCCTTTCTCAAGTTGTTTGGATGCTAGTAGACATTCTTGTAGTGCCAGTGGCATCTAGTAAATATGTTACTTGAATTTTTGTAGCTGTGTGAAAGGAACCACTGTTTGTGTGTGTGTGTGTGTGTGTGTGTGTGTGTGTGTGTGTGTGTGTGTAGGCTTGTCATGAGCCAGAAGCAAAACCAGATCAGCTGGTTTATTTGTTAAAATTGTAGCTATAAAGGGAGAGCATGTGAAAATGTCTTCACTCACATGACATATTAGTGTCATCCATCACTGGAGAAATCATCAAGACTAGCTTCATTTTCAGATTATCCCTGTATTCCTGTTCCAGGTCGTCCTCAGTGGAGGTAGGATGGTGGGAGCAGTGCTGATTGGGGAAACAGACCTGGAGGAGACCTTTGAGAACCTGATCCTCAACCAGATGGATCTGACCCGGTATGGAGAAGACCTGCTCAACCCAGACATTGATATAGAGGACTACTTCGATTGAGCGTGCCTGAAGAATTTCTAAAGGCATGAGAAGGAATCGTGCATTCTGTAGTGTCCAAGCTAATGGGCATGTCTTTTGCCACTATCTTGGTTCTAATGCACTTGCACATTTAAGAATATATTATAAGGATATATTTTTGTTTTAAATAAATTATTTTCGAAACCAAGTTCACTAAATTAGTACTTGTAAGTGCGAGTGATATGTTTAGAAAATGCTTTTGAATGCAAATCCATCACTTTATAAACTTCAGTGAGAAACACTTGCAGGTATGAGATTTTTAACTCAGAAGAATGAGGTATGTTCAGCAATACTTGGTGGTAAAAAAAAAAAAAAAAGAAACTCTGTTTCTATGTTGTCTTAGAGACACTCTCTCAAATTTCTACCTAAACAGCAACTACAGCTCCTCCTGTGCTACTCCTGTAACAATAGACATTTTCAAGCTTGCACAATGCTGTCTATTGTTCCTTGGATATATGGCTCTTGGAGATGTTGCTATTTGAAAATCCACATTTGAAAGGACAAGAAACATTAGAAGTAAAGTGGAAAGATACTTGCTGTACCACTTGTTGGTTTGCGTCATGTATTGTACATGTTTTTAGGTCAGTGTTCCACCAACAGGAACCTGCCCACATCAATGTATCTGTTCCCATTTGTGTATAGGGTTTAGATGGCAACCTTGTGTTTTTACTCACTGCATTATGTAAAACCAGTAAAGATTAACTTGTGTACGCAACAATAATTGTGTAATAAGCCAAAATGCCTACTAGTAATGAGGAGCAAATTGTTCCAGTACTTTCCCCAAATTTACAACTGTGGAAATAAATCATGAGTCTCCAAAAGACACTGAAGAAATAAAGGGCAATGAACATGAATAAAAAGCTCTCCTTTTCCCAAAGAGCTGCTGATAAGGTCTCCCGGGGCAGGATGAAGTGTGTACCTGTGTGGGTGGAGAGCAAGGCATTGTTTACTGCCTGCAGTGTGGCACCTGTATCAAGATACAAGTCACTTTTGGCTGCTAGAATGGAGGGTAGGACAATTGTTGCAATGAGATCCCATGTTATGTTTTACAGGATGTTACCAAGCAACAAGTCAAGTCTGGCATGAATTGGTTGCCAGTGTAGAACAGACATCGTCAAGATGGAAATACACCAGGGGTGTATACACCATTGCTATAAAGTATATTAAGATTTATGTATTCAGAAGGACTTAGCATCTGCTATGGGATGTCTAGGGGAGTGTTTCCTTAGGCTGCCTTTTTTAAACCACCATAAAATGGTTGTTGCAAATGAAGGTGCATCTCAATAAATAAGAGTAAATTTTCCTCCATAATTTCAAAAAGTGAAACTTTCACGTATTCTAGAATCATTGCACATAAAGACTTTTTAAAAAATCCAGATTACCATTAAGCCAAATGGAAATCAAAACACCAGTATCTCAAATCTATTAGACTTTTAGAGTAAAGAATTTATAATACAGAAATGTTGACTTGAGAAGAGCTCTAATCAACTAATTGATTAATTAGAAAACCACTGCAAAGGTTTCCTGAGCCTTTAATGTCTCATTCTGGGGTGGTGATGGGGCAGTGGATAAGACATATGCTTTTAGAGAGACCCAGGTTCAATCCCCCACTGTGACCCACCCACCAATGTGTCCCTGAGCAAGACATTTAACTCCTAGTTGCATTTAGCAATTATAAGTCGCTTTGGATAAAAGTGTCAGCTAAATGAATAAATGTAGTTATATATGAAGGTAATTTACTTTTATATGATATTCTATTTTTTTAGATGCGCTTGTAGGTTTTGCAAGGCGCAATAGGCCTTGTTGCTTTGGGGGGGGGGGGCTTACAAATTACACTATCTGGACTGCAATCTAAACAAACTGTCTGCCATTTAGGACGAAAATGGGTAATGTTAGATCTTAACTCAGCTGGTGGTGATTATTAGCCCAACAAACACCTCCATAGAAACACAACAGACTGTGTTCACAAACGCATTATTTTATACATATAGCTAACAGCCCAGGTGAGTGTAGGTTTATATGAGATTGGAAAACAGGGTTTACTACATAGAATGTATATAAAAAGATTAACTAGGTAACTTTGCCCTGTTGGTGTCGGGCTACTTGCTTTCACAGCTCTGATATTTAAGGCGCTCATGCTCGACACAAAGCTCATTTCATTGGAGAAACTTCATTCAAGCAGATTACGGATGTGACGTACCAGAGCGCGGCGCTTGTATGTAGTCACCAAGGACCGCCGATTTAAATTACCATTGAGACATTTCGGCCGTTTGTATGATTTGACTATGAGATGACTCCAGTGTATCTTATAATGCCACGCATTTTGTTTGTCGTTGGTGTCAAGTATTACATCAACATTATTTCAGAAATTTCTTACGCATAAAAATGTTTAAATGATTAAGCTCCGCCGACGGTGCACGCGGATACTTCGAACAACCGCTTCGGGAGATTTTTTTTTCGGGTGGGTGGGATTTTTGGAGAGGCGTTGCCGAACACCGACTACTCCAGTATAATATCCCCGCAGCTCGTCACGAATCTTCATAGATTGCGCAGTTTGCCGCTGAGTACAGAATACTAATCGCCAGAGTTATATTGAAGCTATTCCAGGAAATCAACATTTAGCCATGGCCAACTACATTCACGTACCCGACGAGGCTCCAGCTGTGCCCAAAATAGATGTGACAGTTGACGAGAGCGACTACAGATCCGGTGCACTGAGCCTTATCAAGGTGCTGAGACCGAGCTGGAAGCCATCGGAGGTCAAAGTGAAGGTGCCGTTTTGTTTGTTTCTTTTTAAATTTTATATATTTTACTGCTAGTCCGCTTGGTATGACATGTACCCACATCCCCCATAGCGTGTATAATCATTTCTTTTTTAGAACGTAAATTGTTAAAAAAAATCGCGACAACTGATGTTAGCTAGCAATGAGTTCCCATATGAAAAACTCTGGCTAATACTAACGTTAGCTAATTTGTTCAAGAGGCAGATGGCACACGAAACCAGATATTACGATGACACCATGTCAATGTCACTAGAAAAGAGCTGCGGACACCCACATAGAAGATAATTTCCTCGCTATATTAACGTTACAGCTACGGATATACTGCGGCATTTGATGCCCCTTTGCAAATGGAATCTGCGTCAGACCAAGTCATAATCCAACGGTGGGAGTTTCTCACCGGTTTTGGCGCAGCCTGCAAAATCTGCTTTACTTTGTCGACGTTATACTAGAGGTACATAATAACGTCAATGTTATGTAACGTTAGAGCATGAGCTGTTTAAGAGGTAAATAAAGACAAAGGCGGCGTTATTACTCGGAAGTGGTTGCACAGATCGAGGAGAGGTGTTTCTGTCAGCTTATGCCGTCAGGCTGCGCCCCCATTGACGGAGTGTCTGGAATTTATCAGATTGGTGGGAAGGATGAGACACTACTAACGTATAGGCTGCAGATTAGTAAGAATCTGTAATCTATTCTTGTAAACTTTAGACGACTTATAGAACAAGCTTAAAGACTTTTTGCATAAGTGATTTAATCTGCGACAAACTGAACTAGTTTTAAAAGGGAACATTATCCTCTAACATTACTTTACATTATCCCAGAGAAGCACGATCAAACATGCGCTCAACATTAAAGTCTGGGAATTATTTTCCTCTGCGGAAATATACTGGGGGTGTGGCTCCACTTGGTAAACACAGTGATGATGGGAGCTGATCACGTGCCCTGCCATCCTTGCCTATATTCATCAATGAGCGTAAAGTGGGAGCTCAGCAAATGCCTGTCATTGCTTCCTCGATGCAAAATAAAATTCCTGACAGTCCTGTTCTGTTTTTCTCAGTCAATCAATAGAGTGAACAATTATGGCTGGTATGTCCCTGCCCAGCCTCTAGCCAAAAATGTTCCCAGCTTCACAGCAGACACAGTTCAGTTTAAATCCACTCAGACAAGCCCTAATCTGTCATGGCTACATTCATTCCTCTTCTCTCTTTTACTTTCCGTTCACCAGATCCTGACTCCTCTCAGAACATATTTTATATCATGTAGTTTTACAGGATCATATATTAAATAGTAAGTGTATGGATGCCCCACTGTCGTCCAACTTGTAGGCATCAAGATAGATTGTTGGGGCGAACAACAAGTTATGACTTTTCTCAGATTCACCTGTTCTCAACTCTGTCCTTTTATTTGTCTCTGCAGTTTTTCACAGACGGAATAACCAATAAGCTGCTGGGCTGCTATGTGGGTGCAGTCATGCAGGATGTGGTCCTGGTCCGTATTTACGGCAACAAAACGGAGCTGTTGGTTGACCGTGAAAATGAGGTGAAAAGTTTCAGGGTACTACATGCACACCGCTGTGCTCCACGCCTATACTGTACCTTCAACAATGGCCTGTGTTATGAATTTCTGCAAGGAACGGCGCTGGAGCCTGAGCACATTCGCAGCCAGCCTGTTTACAGGTAAAGAGAAATGCCGTGTGTTCACAAAGTCAGCTGACTTAAGAGTTGGGTTTGTCACCTGTCAGTGCCTACTTCCCAAAGGCAAACACACATTCAAATTTAACATATCAGCCATTCAAATGCTTTATACTGCCTATATTTACATACAGTTCTGGGCCAGTTCTGTTTTCCCCTCCATCCAACCTCCGTATACACAGTATGAAACGGTTATGTCAATGGTTGAAAATTAGTAAATTTCAGTCATACCCATTGCCTCACCAAAATGTGGCCAAATTAAGCAGACTCTTTCATAAACTGCAAGTTAGTGAAAATGATAGTAGACGCACAATGAATTTATTCAGAAGTATAAAACTAACTAATACAACTTTCTTATAGTTTCACCAAAATAGTCATTTAATCGGTCAAATAATTCTTATATCTGGTTTGAAAAAGCTGAAGTTGAGCTTGGCATGTAAAAAGTCAGTAAAGACTTTAAATGCTCAAATGTATTTGATAGACTGAGGGCATTATCTTAAAGTGTAGAAATGTGTTCTTATTTTACAATAGACAATGCATTAAGCAAAATAGATTACATTTAAACATTGTTATTATTTCTCAGTATATCCTAATAACAATTTTTTTATTTATGCCTTTCTTCCTTGTTACTGCTTGCTGATCTAATTCAAATCCTCACACTTTCTGTTTCTTCTGCCTTGCAGGCTTATTGCCAGGCAGCTGGCCAAGTACCATGCCATCCATGCCCACAATGGTTGGGTGCCCCAGTCTGACCTATGGCTGAAGATGGGCAAATACTTTGCTCTCATCCCCAAGTACTTAAAGGACCCTGAGCAGAATGCTAGGTAAGGCCATACAGAAGAGTATGGTTATTGAAATCTGCCAGACTGAACGCCTAATTGACATTCCTTTTCACAGTTCTGGCTGAGAGAAAAAGTTGATGACTGACCTCCAGGTTATTTACAGATTTTAAATAACCTATATTTAGACCAATAAAGATTGCATAATAGTAGTTAAGACTGAATTCGCCACCACTGATTTAAAAGCCTACATAAAGTGCTAAAGGAAAAAAAAGCAATTACAAACCTTTCAAAACCAGTATATTGATTGAAAATAAAAAAACAGGCTCTAATTACATTGTTAGTTATCTCCACGTGGACTTATGACTTTCCTCTCTTATCAGTGAGTCACAGTTGTTTATTCCCATATGTCTGAGGAAGTACGTGGAATTCCTTTCATAATCCAAGCAAGTGTGACTACGTTCATTTTATGGCTTTGGCATTCGCAACAAATGACACAGAAGAGTGATTGACAGTTTCTCTCTAAACACCATAAAAGATAAAAGTGAAGCACCCTCGAAATTTTTGAATTTTATCTTCAAACAAGGTTACATTAACAAGGTCTGACACAGATTGATAGTTTATACTTACTGCTGCTTTTTGTGTTAATATTACACTAGTACAGTGACTCTTAAAGCCTTGTAACAATCTTATATTTTGAAAATTGTATTACTTGACTATCGTATTGTCACCTAAATATGAAGGTTACATAAGGTCCATTCAGTTTGTGTCAGTGTCAACACGAAAGTTTACAGGTGCGCTACACTAAGGCAAATTGAGTTGAGAATCTTCGGGTTTATGATGCACTTTGGCACCATTAATCTTTGATTGCTTGAAAATTAATAACTACCTTCATGTATGTTGGCACCCAGAACGAATCCAAAACAAACATTGACTTTTGCAGGCTGTTAATTTCCAGGGAGGTCACCCAAATATTAACATTGTACGAGCAGCGCCGATAAAGACTGCAACACCCGCAGTAGGGAGGGGTTCAGGTAGTGTTTAAATTGTTAAACATTGTGTTGCACAATGTTTGTTCATTGTCTCTTGATTGTGACCTACATGGGAGGCATCAAGGTATTACAGTATACCAGGGTATTTTGAAATCTCTATGGTATGACTTACAATACAATCAAAAGTACAGACGCTCCTTGATCTGTTAAACTGATACGGAGTAGCTCTATTGAGCTGATGTATTGTGGCGACGTGAAGCTGCCTGACCTCATCTTCCAACGTGGCAACACGATAACCCCCTGCACTTTTCCAGCAGTTGGTAAACAACACACACGGGAGATTCCCTGATCCTGAACTATTTATTGTTTTATTGGCCATACGCATTTAAACCCAGAATGACTTGTCTAAGTAGGACAACTACATAATAGACATATAGCATTCTATGCTAGACAATGGCATACATGCAACAATGATGTCTGTCACCAGCAGCTCAGCTATGGGTTTGTTTGTTTTTTTTAATTTTTTTTTTTTTTACACAAATACCATCATACCGGACATACCCCCATGAAATGTTGGGAATGTATGAACAAATGGATACCGCCCAAGCCTAGTATAGCGCAACATAAAAAAACACTGTAACACTAGAACCTAATCTAACGGACAGGAAATGTGGTGGTAATTATGCTGTAGTGAGGACTTAAAGTCACAATCTGTTATTGTATTAGTAAAATTGGGAGCTTTCAGTTGACGTTTTCACATTCTTTTTATTGAATTCATCATTATGTTCCCATTTTTTAAAATTAGGAGTTTTGTGTCATGTTGGGCATCGTTGAGAAGTGTGTGGTGCCTGTATTGACTAGATTTTACATAATGAAGAGGCTCTGTACCCAGATCATGTAGTGTTGTTGTTTTTTGTTGTGGATTCATTTACGTTGAGATTGCATAATTATGAATCACTTTTACACAAATTGTTTTACACTAAGCCTGCCAGTAAAATTAGAGTACAGTATTTGTTTCATTCTCTTCCCTTTGTCATTATTACTTTTTGTTCCTATTTCAGCTCTATTTCTGTGTCTACTTTCAGGTTCCCTGTATTTCTGTCCTGTTAATGCTCCTACCCCTTTCAGTCTTCACTATTCACCCTGTTCAACTCTTTGCCCCCTCCAGGTTGAGTATGGAGGTGCCCAGCCCACAGTGCCTCCGGGAAGAGCTAGTGTGGCTCCAGCAGAGCTTGTCGGTGCTGGGCTCCCCCGTAGTTCTCTGCCACAACGACCTGCTCTGCAAAAACATCATTTATAACCAGGAGTCAGGTGAGTATAAACTGCACAAGTGTAGTCATAGACATTACTGTGTGACTGAATTGTGTTGTAGTGTGAACTGCATTGGTCCCTGCTCTCAGGTAGGATTGCATTAACTGCACTTCCTCGATGCTAGTCACATGCTTCACTCATTGTCAGTGTTTGCATTGGGCTGTAGGCGTAGAATTAGAACGGTCAGAAAAGACAATCCTGTTATTTGGTTGCTTTGTTTCACTCTACATGGAATCCTCATTTGAAATAGGGCACACACAACACAAATTGAAAGTGTTGTGTTGATTAATGGAGATTCAGTCTACCAGATTTCAATTTTAAATCCTGGTGGGCCCCCTGTAATTTGGACCATTGGCCCAGAAGTGCAAAGTGAAGCCGTTTTCTAATTTGGATTTCATTCCATGTTACAAAATTTATTCTGATCTGTCGTTCTAATTCTGTGATGAAAACTTGAACTGGTAGAACATAAACTACTGTTATGAGCCTGAACAAATAATGCCATTACATCATACCACATACCAAGTCTCAGTTTTGTTGACAGCACATGTCTTTGGTGCTTTAGTTGCTGGGGTTTTGGTATAAATGTGAAGCAACCTGCAACCTCAGGCAAAGTTATTAGCTTTACTTTTGGACTGAGCGACTTGGTCAATGAGAGTGTACCAGTCAGTGAAACTGTTCTAGTCATTGTCTTTGTAGCAGAGGAATGGCGGGGTAAACTGGTGAGAACGAATAAGGATGGGGGGGGGGGGGGGTTACAGGGTTTTTTATGTATGTGGGAGGTGGGGTGGGGGTGTTTAAGAGCTGTCAGCCCCCTCGTCGGTTTGCGACGAGGGGCCGGGGCCCTTCTCACAGCTCCTTGTGTCTAGCCTTTCTCCCCTAGGAATGACAGCCGAGGCTGTGGCTGCCCTGCGCCGCCCTGCCCTGGGGAGGCAATGGAGAGAGACATACCTCACGCACAGTCTGCTCTGAGGGCCCTCGCATAGTCTGCCCACTGCTCAGGCTAATCGGGATGAGTTCATGGCAGCAGTAGGAGCCACGTACCTACCTATTACCCTCCAATGCTACCCGCCCACCAGTTGTCCTTTTGACAGCAGCTAGGCTACTTACTATACTGGTTATTCCACAAATGTTTTTATGGTTTGCACTTGCTCTTAGTCACTCTGAGCGCCTGCACAATGCCTAAAATGTAAAGCTACTTTCTGTGTCTGCCCCATAAACTTGCAATTTACATTTCATAGCATCAGTATAGATCCCTGGTCAAAGCCTATATGTGAAAGGATATGGCTGGTGATAGGCTTAGTTTTTCTTATTGTCAGCAAACCCCATGAAAAGACCAAAACCACCAAAGAATTGCCCCATCTAACAAGAATTGCCTGTTTAGCTAAAACCCATTATAGCTTAGTTCACAGAGCTCCGTGGTTGAAGGCTGAAACATGCTTCTGCAATAATGCGGAGAAATACTACCTACTGGCCAAAGCACATGGAAAGAGGGTCTGGGTAACTTGCAGAGGAGAAGGCTTACCTCACTTTAATTTGTGATTCTGCATATCAAACAAGTTCAGCAAGGAAAGTTATCCAGTGTCACGGGTATTAGGCCAACACCCAGCGTGAAACTCCCTTAAATTCTTGTACATTCAGTTGTGCCAAATGCAACATTTGCTGGAGTGCACATGCTAGTATTGGGTTAATGTGTAGCTTTTTAACTCTTCTTAAAAAGTATTGCACAACATCCACACTTATTTGCAGACTTGCAAGAATCATGTTTCAGGCTTCAAAAAGTAAGGCTGTTATCGGAACATCTGATTGGAAGTATCACTGATTAAAAGCCAGAATAGAAAGGAATTTTCTCTAAACCCAGTACACCTGGTGTAATCACATATGTATTAACAATTCAAATAATAGAATAGTTACAGACCACACCTACAAATCCACAATGGAGTCCAGGGACTTGAGTTCCAAGCCATAATTATTACACTTTCGACCACACCCACTAAAGCTGTCGATGGAGGCCCTATTTCATCCTTTTGCTTACACCCTTTTTGTTGAATTGAAAAACAGAGTAGGCATGAGAACTGACGACTACCTTGCTGCTTCCTGTCACTGTAGTTGCTGAGTTGAAACCACTTGTCTGCCAAACACGACAGCAACACCACCACTTCCTGTACTGATAAAACCATAAACAGAAGTGGTGGAAGCTCACTCATTTTTTTTTTTTTCCAAAGAGATCGTTAAAAACTTTAAAATGTAGTCTCAACAAGTGCTGCATCACTTTTCTTTCTTTTTGTCTCTCTTTACTTTGTCTCTCAGCCTCCGACACAGGCTGTTTCCCTGCCCCTCACACTCTACTCATTTGCAAAGAAAAAGAAACTTATCTGCACACATTTTTCTCGGTCCCAAGAGGCCTCAAAACCTGCAGTTCAGCAGCCAACAGGAAGCCTCTCATAGATTCTGTCCTTTGCAGACGCGGCAGAGGTGTCATGCTATTGGGTTCACAGTGTACCAATGGGAAGGGAGCATTGGAGGGGAGTGTCGTGAGAAGGGGAAGTGAGGTTGCATGTGTGAGGGGAGGGGGGAGAAAAGGAATGAGAGTTTGGCAGAAGGGCCTGATGTTTCGACACTGCTTGGGAGCAAGAATGGATAAGAGACAAAATATGTCAGTGTGAGAGTGAGAATGTGTGAAAGATGTGTTTGCCCCAACCTTTTCATCTGCTGCACAGGGGGGCTATAGCCACTGCCTGGAGGTGTTCAGTTGTGTCCCGCTAGGACCTACACGCCGGCTGGTAACCCACCTCAAAGTGTCTTTCTCTGTAGTCCAGCACCACCTCAAAAACTAATGTTCCATGTTAAGGCAAAGAAATTAGCCAAGGCCAACACCAACAAAAGTTTTAAGAGTAGAGACATTTAATTGAATGTATTCTGTACTTCAAAATGTAATATTTTTTTGATGTCTCAATATAACAACCAGGCTTGTAAGTAAGGGTTTGTATTTTGAGATCAACCTCTTCATGACTGAATGCTTCCCTCTTTTTTTTTTTCATTTTAACGCCACCTCTCACCTTTTTCATTTTAACACCACAATTTTCTGTGGCCTACAAATGCAGTCAGACAGCAACACATTCTTTAGCCCTTCCTCTCCATGCTCTGACGTCAAATTTTAACCTCTAAGCAGACAAGCAGCTGTAACCTTCAGCCGTTTTCACAGTAAAAGAGACACATCTTCAAGCGAAGATGTAGAGGCAGAGAATGTATTTTACAAACTTAAGCATTCACGCAGTGAATCGAGAACTGACTGTAGGTTGACTTCAAGATATGAGATCCTCATAAACATCACAAAACTATAAAAAGCTATAACTCCCGTTGGCTCTCAGCAACAACGACAAAGGTCTGAGAGAGCATGTATTAAACAGTGTGTTGCTGTACATTTGCTTTGTCAGCTCACTGCATTTTTCTACAGACCACCTTTAGTGTCTTCCTCCCTATGTCCCTCTGCTTTCTTTTCCCTTTACTTCTCTCCCACCCCACCGACTCCCATCTTATCAAAACATAACTTTGACTTGGCCATTTTACCTGTTATTCTGTGCATGTATCCAAAACAAACATACCCCGAAAAGCCACTTTAATCTCGCCCTTTACTTTTTTGTGTGTGTGTGTGTTCCATGTGTTGCATCAGGATTTGCACATTTTTCATCTCTGTCCATAAAAGCCCTAAAATTTCCCACATCTACTTAACAAGAGCTTTTGAAATCCTAACAGCATGATTGCATTTGTCCTAAAGTGCATGTGTAAGGAGTGTGTGTCAGCAGTTATCTTCAGATGCATATTTCTTTAGTCTACATGTGTGTCTTAATTCTCTTTGTCATTTTGTGTGCTGAAGTCTCCCTCTATAGTCTACTTTCCTCAAAATGCAAGCTCTTACTCCCTGCCCCACTATCGGCTAAGTAGACAGCAAGAAAGAAAGAAAGTTACAGTATGAAATAAAAAGCCTTGACAGTCTGAGTAATCCAAGGGAAAACACAACATAATCATTGTATGTCTGCTGCCCATGTCTCTGTCTAAACAATGCTGCTTCTCTTTCCAGGCAATGTAAAGTTCATTGACTACGAGTACGCTGGGTACAATTACCAAGCCTACGACATTGGGAACCATTTCAATGAGTTTGCTGGTAAGCATAACTTGTACTGCTTGGTATGTATGAAAAGATGTGTGTACAAAATGAGGGTTTAACTTGTCGTGTTTTTGTGTGTTGCAGGCCTGAATGAGGTGGATTATAGTCACTATCCAGATCGGGCCTTTCAGCTGCAGTGGATCCGCTCCTACCTGGAGGTCTATAAGGAGCACAAAGGCCAGAGCAGTGAAGTGACTGACAGCGAGGTGGAGATTCTTTATGTCCAAGTCAACCGATTTGCCCTGGTAAGCACTTTTGTTATTATGTTTATTGCACATTAACTGTGAAGCACGTGGTCTTTTATGGTCAAGTCTCAAGTTTTAAAGACCAAGTTGGTGACTTGGTTACATGATAATAGGTTAAAGGTTTGTCTAGGTTATTTTATGATCTTGCTGGTAGGTGCCACATATGATTTTGAGGAAGGAACAGTTTCTTAGTAATTAAGTTAAAGGTTAGCCTCGACGTTGACATATTGCGCATGCCTGTCTTAGTCATTTCTTCTGTATTACTGCTGAACCATGCCCTTTCCCAAAAACATTCAAAGCTAAAGAACTGAAATTGAGCACTTGTGGAGCACAGTAAGCAGCCTGGGGCATGTTCTGGAGATTTTCCTAGCCTGCTGCCAGGTGTTAGGTCAGCAATATGGATTATAGTATGATGTGGGTTATACAGAATTCAGAGTGATGTGGGCTATAAACCTGCACTACCTGCTCTGAATATGATAGAAAGGTGTTTGTCATGTGCTTGCCACCATATGGGAGGTCCTGTTAATGACAACTTGTGACCCTTGTGATGTTCAGTGCTGTCCCCTGAGCCACATTCTGCCTTGTTTATTACTGTCAAGAGGAAGAGGGCCGTGTGTAGGATGGGCAAGTGAAGCTGTTGTGTTTCTGTGTCGGCTATTTGTTATTGTTGCCGGCTTTGTATCAGTTTTGTTCAATAATTAGAAATTACATTTATTTTTTATATATTTATTGTTTGAGTACATACTGATCCTTTGTGTCTCTGTGTTCTTTCTCTTCTGTGTCTAGGCATCTCATTTCTTCTGGGGTCTCTGGGCTCTCATTCAGGCTAAGTTCTCCACCATCGACTTTGACTTCTTGGGGTAGGTCCATCTTGAAATAACTGATTTTATCATGAGCTATTTTATTTTGTTCTACCCAGCAGATTTCAGTTATGTAATCATATGTTTAAGAACAAAATGTGAAGCATCCACATAGATATTATTTTTGTAATCTCAGTGCACAGTGTTTTTAAAGTCTGGCTAATATGTCCCCTACATTTTTTATCTTCTCACGGACTCTCTCTCTCTCTCTCTCTCTCTCTCTCTCTCTCTCTCTCTCTCTCTCTCTCTCTCTCTCTCTCTCTCTCTCTCTCTCTCTCTCTACTCTCAGATACGCAGTCCTGCGCTTCAACCAGTACTTCAAAATGAAATTGGAGGTGGCTTCGCTGAACTTACCCAAATAAAAGCCCCCACCCCCTCATCTTCTCATCCTCCTGCTCTTCTCCCTTCCAACCTGCGCTGCGCCTCACACAATGACTACAGAGCGCCCTCTTGGGGTTTATGTAGGGAAGAGCCAGACAGAGAGTATGTCCTGTTAAACGCCTCTATAGATTGAATGGAGCACAATCTTATCCATCATCTGCTGTTACACCTTCGTGACAGGAGGTAGCCCAAAGCATTTGTACTGTGGGTATGTGAAGTAGAGACATAAGACCTGCTATAATGTGAAGCCCACATAGCTAAATTTATTGTGGTCATTTCAGTGGTTTATAATATCAATTGGGATATTAAGATTTTCAGCATATTGTCTTTGTAAGCAGCTTTTCTTTTTGCTCAGATGACTATAAAGACAGCGTAGGTGGAATGTCACCTCCTTATCAACCAATATATAGTAACCACCTACATGACTTTAGGCCCAAACAATAATGTGATTGCCTGGAGACACTTTCCTCATATTCACAGTCATGGGGGAAACACCTTGAGAGCCAGCCCAGCTAATGACCAAATTTATGACACAACATTAAAGCAATACAAAGCCTGCTTTGTTTGCTGAGGAACAAACATGGGAAAAAAAGTGAAACAAAAAAAAATGCCAACAAGGAAAGGCCAGTGCTGTCTCTTAATCACATGTGATATGAGCCACACAGTGCAAAAAAAACTCCAACAAACTTGTGGCCCGCCTTGTGACTCCCCCTTATTTTCTCCAGCATGGGTAGTGCTCTGAAATAACTATGAAGTCATTGTTGCTGTGTTGTTTGGTGAGAGCTTGTGTGTTTTTAGCTTTCTAGACTGAAGGTAGAAACATCGAGTTGTAGGAGCGCATGTTGTGTTTACATCTAACCTCTCCCTTGAGTTAAATAATTGTACTGATCAGTCTTTTGGCTTGAGGGAGATTTTCACTGTAATGTACAGTTCATGTTTGATGACAATTGGTTTTTGTCTACATTTTAACTGGGGACAAGCTTGCATCTTACTGTATTTTGAACATTCCGTGTTCACAATGGTAGACAGGAAATTTGGTTGGAGTTTACATGGTAAGTCAGCAGTCCGGGGGGGGGCTCGATTCACTGTGACACTGACTGTAAGAAATGCTGTACAAAACGAGACCAAACCATTATATGTTGTCTGCTCCATGTCAGGGAAAGTTTTGGAATCATCTTTAATATTACAAAACACTGCTGTTCACTTCTAATGGACTAAAAACGGGCCATTTTATATACTTATAGACCAGTTTTTATTCACGTGTGTTATTAAGATAAGTGTGATATGGCCTTGCTGACTATCGGATTGGTGAACCACTGTTAGCATTTATCATTTTACACGTCCAATGTTAAAATGAAGGTCTGTAGAAAAATGGAATTTGGTTGACTCAACTTGTCTAAGTAAGAATCATTTGTGTGGAGTACACATCTGTCAGTAACTTCTTGATATTCATTCTTTAACCTTCATGTTAAATGTAAATGTTTAAAAACTAAAACAAGTTCATCTCGGTTACTTAAACAAGCCTACACCAAAGTGCTGACATTTCTTTGCTTGTACATAATGCACACTGTATCATTTTTTTTCATGTAGCACAAAGATAATTAGAATAACAATTACAGACTTTTTATACTAAGTGGAAATGTTGAAGTTGAGTCAGTGTGTGGATGTCTGCTGATGCAGCAACAGATTACTTTTGAGCCTATTGGGGGGGGTGATTGAAGTGCTCCTGATTTTCACCCTCTTAAGTAATTTCACCATAAACATCACATGTAAAATGTGGTGAAACAAGTTTTTTTGTTTACTCCAAAACAGTGTGTTTGCCAAGATGGTCTCTACTGTAATAAGTTTGCAAAGCTTTGTGAAGAGACCATTATTGACAACACTGAATTGTCCACTCCATGTTAACACTCCCGCACAGTAGTAGCTAAGGCGTAGACATTGAAGTGTTAAGTCTACCCTTTTGCCTGTGAGAGCTTATTTTGTACTGTAGTTTGAATGTTAGGCCTGTTACTTCACTTCTGTCTTTAATTCAGTGTTGCATGTCTTTCATGCCGGTCAATTAAGATGGAAGAATTAGGAGAATCCGGTCTAATGTTTGAAATGTATGTACGTTGGCTATTCACAAGTGTGAAAATTGTCCATAAGTGTATTTCATAGTAAATGGTTTTGATTAAATCAAAGGTTTGAGTTGTGTTAGGGGAACATGTTAAGGGTGAAAGATTGTTTTCTGTTTTTCCCTTTTACTACACAGACCGACTGCAGTTTGTCGATCTACTGCAACATAATCTGAATTTTCAAAATTATACTGCTGAAATATTTGCTATAGGCTTTATTACCCAATTTATGTGAAACATGAACCTCTACATTTCACAGGTGTGTGTTTGTATTTAACACTGTAAAAAGTCTGTTGATAAATCTCTCTGGCCACTTTAGCATATGTTTATATGTACAGTGAACTAATGTGACATCTTTTCTTCTCAAAGGTAAATGAATGTACATAGTAGGAGTTCTTTTATTTTTTGTTTTCTAAAAGTTGCATTAAAGTGAATAGTTGCCTGAGGTAAGGGGTGAAATTAAAAAGAAGACTTTTTCAATACTGTAAACATGATTTGAAAAATAAAGTCTATTTACCCAGTCTATTTACCCATATCTGTCTTCTTTTCATCTTGTCTTTAAAACAGGGGATTTTTTATCTCCTGTTACGTTTACTAGTTCAAATCTATTTAGTTAAAATCTGGGTGGCAGTTTTTTGCTGAGTAAGAATTTTATCAAACACTAGACATAATTGGTCAAACAAATGTGTGATTACTGAGCAAAATATACATTACTTTTATTTTTGTCACACTTCTCATCCTAGTGCAGTGGCCATGTCTTCCCAACGTTTTAATTGAGTGAAACAGCGCCCCTCTGTGTTAACGGTTGGTAAACATCATATAATCGGTATGGTCAAAGAAGGTATTGCACACTTACTGACGACGTTATTGTCTTTAAAAGGAAAGAAACTTTGAATTGTAACACAAATCCTGTGTCTCACAACAAACAATAGAAAGTTCATAAGATGAATTAATGAAACAACCTGTAGACTTATGTTGTTTTCCAGAATTGCAAATAGCAATGTTAGGCTAGTTAGCTAGCATCAATTGAAAAAGGAGTTGAGATTGTTGAGTTTTAGCAACAAACAAAATTACCATCAGTAGGATATTTCATGACATGGATATTTTCTGTTGTAAGGAAGAAGAATGGGCTTAAGTGAAAGAAAACACATGAGTCAAATACACTCTAATCATGTCTGTCTCTTTGTTTACTGGTTTCTTTAGTTATTAGTTAGTTGTTGAGTTGCTTCTGTCCACAGTCACAGGGAAAGACCATGCAGGGCTTTGGATAATTTTTTTTTTTGTTTATGTGCATTGTTTCTTTGTAATGTGAACACTGCCTAAAACAAACTGACCAATTGAATGTTGTGTTGTTTGTTGTAGGACACCACAATAAAATGTTTAAAAATTCAAATTTATAACTTTGTTGGTAAAATGACACATATTCCTACATCACCTTATTTCTCATGTGACCTGTCTAAATTGGCTTCATTCTGAACCACTCACTACTGCTAAAATGAGCTGTATAGTTTAAAAGTGACACTGCATGGCAATACACCAAACAACTATTGGGGTGCAGTGCAAGCAACAAAATGACAAATATGTAATGGCACCAGAATGTTTCTATGAAGTTGCTTTGTGTCTTGAGAGATCCTGACCTACTGATCTACAATCTTCCATCAGAATCAGCTGGCCTGTGTATTTTACCAGCGATGACCACAAGATGGCAGCACCTTCCAAAGAAAGAAATTGTCGACCAGTCTCCAAACCTGGCAGAAAGCTCACGACACATGGTACTAAAATAATCCTATTCGACATTTATTATTTGTGATATTAATGCTTATTAACATAGATTTCTATATTTAAAATAAAGACAGCTCATTAATATGCCTTGTATTGAACCTCTCTATTCAAAGCAAATAAGAAAATACTGAATTTACTTAAGAAAACATCACATTGAAATGGGCTTAGATTGCTTTGCAATATTGAGCCCTGGGCCCATGTGGAGGACCAAATTTGGTTATAGGGGCTGGATGTAAAAAAATTTTTTAAGTCTAAATAAAGAATTTGAAAAGTGTGTAGGTAAGCTCCAGGGTGCCCAAGATTGATGTCATACAAAACATTATTTGTGAGGCCTATTAGTCAATGAAAACTACTATAAGATTAGTTAGTTTGTCTATGTGCTGCAAAATTGCTATAAGTAAATAATGAGTGCATAGACAGGCTTTAGCAGTGCACATGTTTACAGTTTGCTATCCCATGGGTTAAATTAGAAAGCCATTCATGCCTCACACCCCAAAACCAAACAAGTAATTTCTTACCATTCTCTAGAAGCAAATCATGCCTGCCTTTCGTCTCCTTAATGTGAGCACTGTCTTATACAGTCGAACAATTACAACAGTGCATTATCCAACTCGCTGACTGTAATTCAATTATCTTCCTCCCCTCGGCTTCATCCACCCGGATAATACACACATTAATTAACAACAGAATCCAATATCGTCTGTTCTGCGCCTCCACTTATTTTCATTTCCCATAAAAAGGTCAAAGCAGCCACTTCCAACTGAACACAATTGGTGTAAGTGTGTAGTAATGGATTACACTTGTATATCACCGGAGCTTTAGAGTGGGTGTGACAGGTAGCGGGGAAGTAAGCCTGTCGGTCGTCAGAGGCTGAGGCCTGGGAGAAGGGGAGAAGTGCTAACATGGCTGTGACACAAATCTATCAGAGTTGTCATTTCACCAAACTCATAAGGCAAAGTCCCCGTGGAGTGGAATTTTAGCAACAAACATTTCAGGCAGGCAACAATCTCATTTCTCTGCTGGCAGAACAATCTCTTTGGCTGAGTTAAACCTCAATGGAAAGAGCCTGATTTCTTTACCCCAACTTCTCGTTGGGTGGTAAATATTATGATGAAGCCCAGTAAAAAGTGGCAAGGCACTAAGTGACATGGAAGACATTGTGAAGGCAACTATGCTCTTGGTACCTTACAGTGCTACAGTATCTAGCCACATGCCTAATAGCTTAAAATCTAGCCTGTTTTTACCTGTGAGGCCAATGTAGCCATACATTTGTTGTAGGTAAGCAAGTTTCCTACAATATTTGAATAAATCTGAAGTGGTAAGCTATACCGGTGGGCTCTTATTCAAAAATAGCAACAGCTTATGCTTATTTTAGGTAAATCCCCAGAACAAAATACAATGCTGCAGTCCCCGACAAGATACAGTTCAGTTGTTAATTAGCTGCACATGTATAACCAAATCTGTACACTAGGGTTGGGCGATTGGACAAATATAGAGGGTATGCGTTGATGTCACTTCCCCTTCTGGAACACACTGGACTGAGTGGCAAAACATCTGTTACCATGGTTGCGTTTAGCAAGCCGGAAGTAAAACAAGTGATTATTTGTTCAAATTAAAGGCAGCTGGACTCAACAGTGATCCTTACTGCTTACCAAAGAACCAGCAGTCCAGCTCTTTCCCATTTTAGATGTGTTGTTTGTGTTTTAGCTGATTCAAGCTAACACTGCTGCTTGTCTTTCTGCCACTCAGTGAGCGTAACTGCGTTCTGCGACATTATGCGCATACCCTCTATTGGCTTTGTTGGTGCAATTTGTGTCCTTTAATTTTGCTAATTTAATGATCAGCCTCCCAGAACGCACCCACATACACCTGTGCAAAAATATTGGCAATCGCCGGAGGGAAGATTTTTACATATCGGTCAACCCTAATGTACACATGGCCAGTAAGGTCCTGATGAGTATTCTTAGTAGAAATTTCTCTGCTGCTATGTTTCTGTATTTCCCCTAACATGCAGATCAGAAGAAGAAGAACAAGGTCTGTGTCTCACCTTGGCCTTCCCATTAGAAAGTGCCTATAACGCCACTCACCAAAAAAGAAAGACAGGAACAGACACTCACACAGGTATATCCTACTACAATCAGACAGAAGAGCATAGAGCAAAACAACAATTGCGGGGTGTGTGTGTGTGTGTGTGTGTGTATGTGTTTGTGTGTGTGTGTGTGTTGGGGGGATGAATGGGGTCAGGGCAGTCTCGTTCATCCCTATTCAAACCGCCAACCTAATTACCAGAGGAGAGGGAAACAGTAATTAGCAGCGAGTCTCACCTCGTTAATCACAAAGGGCTCCTTCGCTCTATTTATATCAGATTAATGGCTTGCTTAAGCACGGCAAGATATTTATGTTTCTGTTAATTGTGTGCAGCTTGTATCCGCTCGCTGCGGCTTTCTTACAACCCCCAACTGACACACACAATGATACACACACCGACACACCTCTGCTACACCCACCTCGTCTCATTATAGGCTACTACTTACTGTTGGCTCAAACAGTCAAGGCTGTTAAAAGACTGCCATTTGTCTTATACCTGATTTGTTTCTTAGTCATAATTAGCCTATTAGCCTGGATCCCTTAGCCTACCATTTCATCACTGCAGGAGGTGAAAGCTTATTTTTCTGTTCTTGTTTAGGATATTTTGATGACTCTCCAAAAACGTAACTGCACTTAAGTGGAAGGAGAGGCACAGTAGAATGTGAATATTTATATAATGAAGCAGGGCAGGAGTGGTTTAAGAAGTATTGCTGTATTTGTGCTGACATTGCCCCTTTGATCAGAATGTATGCCTTACTGTATCTACTCATCACTGTTTTTGTCGCCCAAAATATAAATCCCTTATTATTCACCAACAGAAAATAAGAGAAATGGAGATAAATTAGCCTGATAAGAGTCTCTGGTTGCCGTATTTGTTTGAAGAAATGAAGTTGCATGGGGAAAGTTGATACCATAATCTGCACTGGACTGAATATTTATGGTTCTGGCAAGAAAGAGGAGTCTTTGGCCTTGCTCAGACTGCCAGCCCAAATCTGTTTTTTGCCATATCCAGATTGGTTTTAGAAAGTCTGGACAGCAGAAAAACACATGATATGCATTGTGATCCAAGCCACATTTGGAGGTGTTTCGGATTTGATGATGGCTCTCTATTTCTCATGCTTCTGCTTTGGAAAGCAGCCTTACCTGCATACGTAGTTTCTGACTCGAATGTCGTTACCACAGCAACACATGCAGAGAGGTAGGTAATCACTTGGAAATGACAGTGTGGATAGTCTGTTTTGAAAGATCTGATTTAAGAAACGAATCTGATTTGCCTGCCATCTAAACAAAGAAGTTTACAAAAAAACAACAACAAAAAAATAATTTTGTTGTACAGCCTTGTGTTGTATAATGATAAATAAATTACCTTGATCATTGATGAATTTATTTGACAAAACAGTGGATAAGTCCCAGGACCTTTTATTCCCTGGAACTGAAACTATCCCAGAAACTAAAAGGTTCCTCCTTGTTTCCTCCTTCATATGTAAATCTTGGCACCCAAAAAACCTTGAAAACAGGCCAATGCCAACAAGCCTACATGTTATGTAACATCTGGGATGTTTACTCCCCTAAAGTTACATAGACCAGCCCACGTTTGGACCACGAGCTAGCAGCAGGGCTAGCAGTCATACAAGTTCATAGAGCTGTAGGTTGTG